CATGATAAATTTTTCAATTACTTTAAAATGTCCATTCAATCATTTGATGACCTATTGGAGATAATTAAAGACTCCTTAGAAGCTGATGACAATGTCCCAGATGGCAGGTCTTTTTTTTATTTCATTAATTAACATATCTATTTCAATTTCCACATTTAAAATAACACTTGTTTTCAAAAACTATAGATGAAAATTCGATCGTTCGCATCGAAACGCGCGTGTCAATTGAACGGTCCAATAAAATAATAAAATAATAAAATAAAATGAAATTTTATTTTAATTTTTTTTTGTATATTTAAGTATTTCAGAATTTTAGTATCATTTTCGAAGTTTTGGTACTATTATTGGATAGTACACATAATAATACAATGCTTTATTTAGAATTTACCATAAATATTATTTATATTGACTAAAAAATAGTACCTATTAATTTATGTATAAAAATAAAAATTCTCAAATTTTTGTTTCTTTGTCACAACTTTTATAAATTATTATAACAGAAGGTCATTTTAATTTTTTTTTATAAATGTATTAATTCATTAAATTATTTTATAGATAATAATTAAAAAAATAAAATAAACTGTCAGTAAAATACAATACATTTTATTACACTTTGATTTACATTTCTTTTCTTTTTATTTATATTTTTAAAGTATAAAAATATAAAAAGTAATAGAAGTATAAGTATTTTTGGTCATATTATAGTGCGTATTTCAGTACTTTTCAATTATATGAAATTCGAACCCTGGTTATTATGATTCACAGTTAATATTCATCAAAGTATAAAGTCAAATCAATGTACTATGGTACTCGATACCTACTACCCATACAATACCTACAAAGTCATAATTTGAGATCATCAATTATTATTATTAATTTATCAACAATATTCTATCCTACGGTAATATTTATACATGCAGTCATGTAACACATTATTTACATAGTTTCATATTTAATGATACATGTTTTACAATTTTTTAAGTACTCAGATATTTCAGTATAAAATAAAAATGAATACTTGCCTATCTAAAATAAAAAATCTAGTTTTTTTATTATCATTAATTTTTATGACGCCCCCTGAATTCATAATACTTTGTACACCCTAGAGCACCCTAGGGCACCCTAGGCAACTCCTCCTTCCCTTAAGACGGCTATGGTGACAGCACGCGAGGTTATCCACAACACAAAATATCTTGTTCCCTCGAACGAGTGACGTACAAGCCGAATTATTATAAAATGACCTACAGGCTTCTGAGATAAATAATTCTTAAATTTAGATAACAGTGAATGGAAAGATAATTATGGAACAGCTGAAGTATTAAATGCGGAAGAGAGCAAATTATTGAAAGTGTTGGAAAAATCGAGTTATCGCGACAACGAAGATGAACCTTAAAGGTCTCTTGTATGCAAAAAGTAAAAAATAATAAACGTCGTAGGCGTTATACAGTTTCAATATTTATCGACCAGAAACTCTTTGTGGGCTCAAGTTCAAATGCGTTTGATAGAATATTCAATCAGTTGACGCCCCGAAGGCGAATGCTGCACAAAGTACCTAATCCAAACCATACGGGTGCATTGAGAACAAATAGTTTTGCAGGACCGACATTTGAATATGTAATCCCAGGGGAACGGTGTTATAAGGTTTTCTCACCTAAGGATATGCTTCAATTGTCGTGGGCGTTTTCAACAAGAGTGCAGAATATTAATATTCTGTGCAATGCTTTACCTCATAACAATAATTTTTAAATTAAATAAATGCCCAACTAGCTTATATCACATATATTTGTGTGTTATCGTTTTATTATACATCGAAAATACGATTTTATAACGGTGAAAAGTAATGATTAATAGTTCGCTAATTTTTCATTAATTATAAATTACCAAAAGTCAGAAAGCTGAACATTGAAAATTCTTTGGTTTTTTCTGGCTCTTATTTCTTCGGAAAATTGTATTGGTGGCATTCAAATTCATCAAAATTAATGCCGTATTCAACAATATTCGTTTAATATGGTAATATAATTATAAGCGTATGATCACTTAATCGTTTTATTATATATCGTTTTTTATTTATTGTTTTTATTGTTTGATATTATAATCTAATATTATACTAAAACTTTAGAACGAGAACAATATTGCTTTATTTCTATTATTTTTCGTATGTAATATTTTAAGTTTAAAATATTATTCAAGATATAAAACTTTTAGGGAAGCGATTTAGTCGCAATTAAATAAAACGCGGTATTGTGCAAAACTCTTTCATTCTATTTACTGATTTTCAAATTAATTTTATTATTAGTAAAATTAATATATCGACTTCCATCCACTTTTCACATAAATAATATTCATATCTACATTCACATGATGAATATAGTAGAGTTAATTTAGTATTCGATTCATTAGTTATAATTAATTGGAATTTTATGACTACTGCAGTGATTCGATCGGCGAAAGTTCTAATTCTTTCACCGATGTAATCGCGTTAATGGGTGAGTTACGCGTAAAATCTAACTCAAATTAATTTAAATTCGCTTAAATACTAGTGATAAGATAGAATGTTTTCTGAGCATCTCAGTTTCGTATTTAACGTTAGTTTTTAAGATTATTAAACATTTGATCGTGTCAAACATTTATGCGTTGCAACTATAAGGTACAATTTTACTTGCAATATTGAATTAGCAAATACATTTTAAAATCCTTAACCGTGTATACATTTTTTCTCGTAAAACTATTAAAATCGGTGAATCATTATAACTTTGATTATTTGATATCATTACAGCGGTACTGTGCATCATAAAATATAGCCATGCATAATGACGTTTCTTTGAGTGCACACTGTGAAGGAGAAAATAATATTCTTTATAAACAATAAAACCTTTTAGAAATGTTTAAGTTAAAAAGCATTCATTTAAAACTAAAAGAAAATAATAATTTAAGTACCTTTTGTTAACACACGGTTTCTATATGTTAAAGCATAAAATATACACAAAGTCGGGTGCAAAATTATTGAATGGTGAATACCGATTAATTTAAATATGTTTTTTTCGAGTAAATTTACAAAATTAAATAACTATTAACTTAGCTTAAATTAAAATTATAAATAATATATTATTGCAAATAAATAAGATAAAAATTAAATTGTATATTATATGTGTATCAAATGTCTCCACAACTTTTTCGAAAATACAGAAAAATTAATTCAGTGGAAAAATAATAGCTAATTTATTTTTAATTACACTTTTATCAATAAAAATAAATTTATGTAGTATTATCGTAAAATATGCCATTAAGTACAATTTAATAACTATCATAAATCATTTTCATAGTATTCAAAACATAATTATGACTCAGAGAAATAAGGTAAACAGAGGACGCATTTATTTTCGCTGCCTCTTTATCCACCATTTAAAGGATATACACGTATATTAGTATCCCACAACATGTATTTATCTCCATAATAATAGTATGTTAATTAATTTACTTTGTATTTTAAAATGAAACTCATCAAGTTTTAAATATAGACATAGTGACGTAATATTATCTCAAATAATCAATAACGAGTTGAGAAGAAAAACATTTTGAAGTCTACTACTATTATTTTTACTATTTGTTATTGTCACTAAATGTTTCGAACTTCGCTTTTTGCTTTATTCATCTGTAAGTAATATTTTTTCTTTTATCTTTATGCTTTTATACATTTATTTTCATTGATACATCCATTATACTAGTTGGTGCCCCAGAATAAGCTGTCAAATTTTTAAATATATTATGTTAAAATAAAATATTTAAGGACTAGATGGCTAGATTAGCATTTGAATAGTGAAAAATTATAAAATTATAAAAAACCAAATTAAAAACTGATTTATCTAAAATCATTTTCTTGTAACAGAGCGAATACCACTACAATTTTTAAAGTTCTTTACTGTGCATTTTTGATTCGTGATTCTTGTTAACTATTGCTATTCGATCTAACTAAACTTTTATACGTGTAAAATATTTTTATTCCGATTAGGCAAAATTGTTTCGTATACTTAAAGACTATACACAAAAATAAATAGGTAGTAATTATTTTTATTTTATGTATTTTTTATGATAATATTATAAATGTAAGCTCATCTACAGAGTTCATTAGTCCGAACCGTTTTGTTTTAGTAATTTATCCTATCGATTTCCATGTTTTTTATTGTTACTGATCAAGTAAGTCGAAAAGAGATAAAATTACTTTAAATAAAAATGTGGTTATTTTCAGAAAATTAAATTTTAAAGCATTCAAAAAGAAGCTACTCAGTAATTATTTAATTTGAAAAACTATCGTAATCATGTAATAATAAGTAAATCGTCGAAAAGCACTTTTATTCTGGATATTATTATGAAAAACTAAAGTAATTTGGAAATATCCGGATAATAGTTGATTACTATTATAATATTACATATTCGTTGTTGAACAAATAATATTTTATCTATGTAACGAGAAACTTAAGACCAAATTTGGTCAAAATAAACACAGATCTAAGTAAAAATGGTGAAATTTAAAATCATCAAAATAAAATATTTTAAACTATTTAAAAAAAATGATTCAAAAATAAAAGATGTAATTTATCTTCAATGATTGATACTTTTTGGTATGAGAATTTAATAGTAATCCAAAGTTACGCGGATTCGGTAATTTTAAGAATATTAATATACTTATAATTATAAGTAAATCGTACAAGAACAACAAATGGTATTGCTTCATAAATCATCCTACTGCGTAGTTAGTGGTTAGACTAGTTGGTATGACATGTTCACAAAAAAAAAAAAAAAACAACCAATTAAAATAACATTGCGAGGGCACAACGTTTCGTTTTTATTCAATGACCACCGCGGGTATATTTATTCACTGTATTCCGTGCGATAGGAGACGATATGAAATATTACTGACACTCAACGTGGTCCACGGTCCGTGGATCTGCGTTTCGAAAGGATTGTAGCTAACACGCGTGCTGTAATTTTTCCGATTTCAGCCACGACGGTGTCTTGCCCTTCGCCGTTCACCAGCAACATACTGACCGACCTACTGAAAACAGGCGGCACGGCCAAGTTTGGGCTCGTCAAGTCCGTGGTGGCAGCCATTGCGACCTTGTTTTTGGCCAAGATACCCATACTGCTGGCCGTCAAGGCGCTGATGCTGAAGCTGTTCGTCGTGCCACTGGCCGTGGTCGTGCTTTCGCTGCCTGTGCTCGTACCCGCCGCATTGCTGCTGCAGCCGCTGTGGAAGAAGTGGAAGGAGTTCGTCGGCTTCGATTCGTCCAAACCGCAAATGGTCATGATGGTGCCGGCCACCGACGCACCGAAACCCGCAAACGCGACGGCCGCGACGCCGGCCTCCACTAGGGCGCTGGAGAACAACCTGGAGAATGTGCTCAGCAACCTCCTCGAGTCAGAGAAGTGCATGGAGAGACTGGCCTGTCAGTTAGGCGTCAGGGACGCGAGGTCCGAGTACAAGCAACAAGTGTCCTGGTACGTATAGAACCGAGTGGTAATAATAAGAATTTAATAAATAAGTAAAAAACCTTAACAGTGAAGTATTCGCGTCATCGTGCATGTTTACACAGTGTTCTACTACGAGCGTCCTAAAATTGCGTTTGTTAATTTTCAAAAAACCGTTTAACTATTAATTATTTTACTACTGATCAAGGTACATTTTTCTCGTTAAAATATTTATAACATTTTTAAAGATGGATGTTTGGTTAATTCTTTAAAATTAACAAAGTTCGACTAGGTGCTTGATTGAATTCATGAACATCATGGTTTTTTATTACCTATTCACCACAGAAGTAATATTATTTAATTGGCTTATTTGTCAATTTATTTCTCCATGGCTTCCCTCCAAACTTTCTATAAAATTACTATCTTTAGACTTTTCAAATTACAATAAAATCATCTTATTGTTTCAATTCAAGGATAATAACGTTATAATGTATTTAATTGTTTTTTTTTTCAATATTTATCATTATTCTAAAAAATTAATAAATTTGGTCTTAGGTTAGTCCCATGTGATATATATGTGAAAAAACATAATTTGATTACCTTTCTCACTACTGGATTTGTCGCAATATTATAGTATAGTATTTAGAAATAAATACTTTGATAAATCCACGTATTAATAATATTAATACTGACGAGCTACTGTATCTCTAAATTGGAAGAGGCATGAAAATAAAACGATTATTCAGAATTTTTAGTTCTACAAACGAAAAAAAAACTGTAATTAGATAACAATTTACATAAAACAATAAAAGGTTATTCTAAGCATCGAGACTTCGATAAATCTAGAGATGTTGTGGTTGGACTGTAGTGTTATTAAATGCGGCTCGGTCCGGAAAATTGTGAAATACATTTAGCGGTTAATTTCATTTTTCTTAAAAAGCATACTTGGAATTTGGAATGCGTAATTTATCTTGAGTATGTCGGGAGCATATGAATTCCTTTCGACGTAATCGTGTACAGTTCCCCTTTATCTCGAACGATTTCATGTAGAACCACCAAAACCTGAAATCGATCGATTTATGGTGAATATATGCAGTGATTATCTCTTACAGTTAAGAGAATAAAAATAATTATTATTATTATTCTAGATCAATATTGTAGCTGGAACAGTTTGTACTGCAGTTTCTTAAAACACGTCCGACGTATAAATATATATATATATACATATATATATATATATATATATATACGAGTATAGAATATACTTTAATGGCTAATCTAAATCACTGAAATTAATTGCAATATTAAGCAAAAAATTTGTTCTAAAGCTAAAAGTTGAAACAAATATGAATAATTCAACTCGTAAGATTATCCATAGTTTGACTAGTCGGCTAAACCAAAATAAGTGAATATCAACAAAATAAACATATTGTGTCAATGGTTATAATTTTTGAAAGTTTCCCTCGATTATCTTTTCATATGGTATTATAACAATTAAATTTTAATTGTAATTAATATCAGCAGTAAACAAAACATACAAGTCAAAGATAAATTGTATTAACAATCTGATTTAAGATTTCACGATAAATGTGGGGTGAAATTACTTGTATTTTTTGTATTCCATAAACCAAAACGTTATCAATCAAAATAATCTGTTGGAACGTTATCAGAATCTTTTTTTAAATTAAAACGTCATTTTTGAATCACGTATAATATTGCAAAATCTAGTGTTTTCGACGTGATCTTATGACACGAGTATACATAAATAAATTTGGTAATTAATTTGAATAGCCAACCATCTAAAATACTGTGATCAATGAAATATTTATTGTATGTTTTAGGACCTTAATTACATTATAGTGTTTCGTTTTGTATAGAAGTACGTTACACGAGTATGTTTTGACCTTAATTGCATTTTGTTTGTGGTGTCTACGGTAAAAATATACATAATTGTTAAAGCGTTATGTACTCCGTCTGAATATAAAACGAGCAACATAATTTACGTACTTTTCAGAGAATGTATAAACATCGGTTTTTTATTTTATACATTATGAATGATCAGTCATAATATCAGTTAGTCAATGGACTAAAAATATCTACCCACTTATTACAAGTTAGTGTCTAAGTTAGTTTAATTCTAGAATAAATTGTCCTTTAAAAAAAAAATTAAGGGTTAAATTATACTTTTTTTGTAAACATTTGATTTAATTTAACTCAAGTATAAATTTTAATGCTTTTGTTAAAAATGATTGAAAATAAAAATGCAGTATTTTTATTTTGCAGAAGATATTTTATATCGCTTTTTTCAAAAAAAAAAAAAAATTTTAAAAAACAATACATTTGACATTTTCATTATTCAGTATATGTGACTAAAATTTACAATCTAAAAATATCAAAAAATGGGTTTTAATAAAAATTGTATTCGGAAATATGCATAACTAATTCTTTATTTAAATTTGAAAAATGGAATCCATTATTTTGACCTCTGAGTATGTTATGTGAACATTTGAACTTTCTCGAGATACGATATGAATATATGGTTCAAATTATACAGAAAATTATTTAATTAAAAAAAAACCAAAATTTGTTATAAATTTGATTTCACTTGGCTGCAAACTAATTACATTGCTTTAAATAATAATTCATTTTGATGCTTTAAGAATCAAATATCGTTACATAATAATTATTTTATTATTTATTGTGTTGTGCGTATCAAAAATAAAAATGTTATTGCAATATCTTGTAATAATATCTTATTATTTTCATGCAGATATATGAACAGAAAAATCTTGTTTACACTATTAAAAGATTCGACAATTAATTATAATCTCTTGATAACACAAATACATCAGAAACGTCGACTTTATAAAATTTAGGAGAGTATTATAAGACACGTTATTAAAACATTTTTTAACTGACAATAATCAGGGGCGTAGTTAGGGGGGGGGGGTAGAGGGATGGATCCCCAAAAAACTTTTTTTATGTAATTTTTTTTATTCATTATATTGTGATAATATGATTATTATCATTATTATTATTATTACGATTACTATTATCATTATCATTATTATTATTATTATTATTATCATTAAAATTAAAATTATTTAAAAAATTGTTCTGGTGGGGGGGGGGTTACTGTATGAGGTGTACAGATTTTGCCACAGATACATATATCTGTGGATTTTGCTAAAACCTATAATCCCCCCCCCCCCAAACCAAATTCCTAATTACGCCACTGACAATAATACAATACATAATATAATAGAAATTCGAATAGAGATAGCTATCTCTATCCGAGTTTAATTTGTTAATGCAAACACGGATAATATGTTAGGAGGATTACATAGAACACTGTACCACACAAAACACATTGGTAAATAAATAAATCGAAAGGGATAGAATGAGTAATACGACATTTCGAATATTACAATGTACGGTATACGTAAATAAAAGAAAATACAACTGAACACATTTGGTACATTATTTATTTAAAGTCTTGACACCCCAAAAGGGGGAAAAGTACAGTTATTACTGAACTATCAGTATTATAATCAGTGGAGTTTTTTCGATATATATAAATAATAAGCGATATTAAACAACATTAGATAATTGTAAATCGTTACGGTGATCAATAAATTGTAAAATTAAAAACATTGATTCCTGTTGGTTTTGTTTAAATTATTTGTGATTTTAATATTTAAAAATTCATTTGAACAATAAAGCAAATTAATGTTCTAAATAATTTATTTGTTCACTATCGAGTAAGTTCTGCTGAAAACTTTTTTTTTTTTTTTTTGATAATTTTAATAAAAAATTAAATAAGAATACATTACTCTTTTACTCCGAAATGTGCATTAAAATCGTGCATTACCCTTTTTTATTTTTATTTGATAATATGAAATAAACAATCTGTACAAATGTTAATACAATAAGAATATATGATGATAGGGTAGATATAATGACATGAATAATTTGGAGAAGAAGCCGCCCATCGACGAAACTTCTATGATCACCTATATTCTCACAAAATATCATTTTTTAATTCAATATTTTATAGACAAAAACATATTCCATTAAATAGACCTAATTATTAATACAAACTCAATATTATCTATATTATAACCCATAACAATAATTTAAATTTAAATAATATAAAAATTCATAAACGTATTAAAAAAAAAAATAAAACATAATTCATCCAATAATATTAGCTATTAAAGTATGAAAAATCAAAATAATATCTAAAAAATTAGCTAAAATTCTATATAATAATACTAACAATGTAAAAATCACTTTTATCATTTTGATATCAATATAAACTTAGAAATATTAAATACCCAATATATCATTTACATTAAATTATTTTTAAAAAAGTTATACATACACAATGAAATAAATAAATTTCTTATTTCTTATTATATTATATATATTGTTTAACTTTTATGGACAAATAACATTTTCATCCACTACGTACACGTTTAATGCATTTTCTACTAGATAAGAACAGTAGGTGATTTAAAAATATTATGATAAAGAATACGAAAATGCATAAAATTCTAACTAAACTTTCTCTTGAGATTTATAGAAAAATTGTTAAATCCAATCATAATGATGTACTACTTTTTGTTGGCATTTATGATTTATAACCGTGTATAATTATTAACGTTTTTACTTTTCTATAATTTACTGTATTTCGAATAGCATATTTTCATCACAATATTATATTTATTTGTATGTTTTGTTTTATTTTTGAACTAATACCGCAATCATTTATCAAACATTTTTCCCGCTCGATTATACTAATTATTCTCCAAAACAGACTCTTGATTTGAAATGATAGCAACAAACGTTCAGAAAATATAATTTTAATAATTAATTTAGAATGCATAATGTGTATATTAGTATATGGATAGTATATTATACTTTCGATTTTAGTGTTTTATACGGAAGATTAGATGAAAAGTAACTGAAAAAAGAACCTCTTGACGTGCACCACAGGCACTAGTGTTACTATATTATTCTCAATGCGT